GAAGCTCGCAGCAGCAGGCAAAGTACTGAGTCTGTTCGCCGTAATAAATCTGATAGAACTCATCTCTCAGGGCTGCTCCCAAAGTCTTGTACATTTTAAACTGTTGCTTCGCCATGTGTCCCCACAACTTTGCCTCAGGGTTGGCACAGTTGCAGCGGTACTTGTCTTGGATGCGCTTGAGGGCAGGCATTCTGCAGGCCTTGGAGCTGGTCTCAACGACCATGTGAAGCACACGTGCTCGAATCTCACGGGGCAACTTCATGAACGGGAAGACGGTAGGAGAGGGGCGGTCTGCAATACAGGAGTTAGTTACTCTATGGACTTTTCCATTCCGATGTACCCATAACAATCTCTGGAAGAACATCAACGTCGTTGAGTTCATGAAGCACTTACTGGCAATCTCCAAGACTTCGGTGCACATATGAATGAGCAGGGCGCATTCTCTTGTCTCGTCTTGCTTGTTCTTTTTCTGCTTTGTCATTCTCTCGGTACACTTTCGGATAGTGTCGATCATGGCCTGACGTCTCTTGGAGCTCAGACGAAGCATCCGGCCGAGCTCAGCCATGTCAATGGTCCCTGTTTTGGTGTCTTCCAGAGCTTGCAGCATCACCTGAGTGTTGTGGCACAGGTCGAAGCGCTTGTGGATGTTGCGACACTTCAAGACGAACCACGAGTCCATGCCCAAGACCATCTTGACGGTATGCTTGTAATTCTCTTTCTTTCCTTAGGTACGATATTTGACAGTCAAGACGCGCTTGGTGAACGCTTTGACGATATATGCTCGGTGCAGTAAGCCAGGTATCGGGACGCTAGAGATATATGGTCGGAAAGAAACGGTCTCAAGTCTGATGAGGGCTCTGACTGTTGTCGCTTCTAAAATGAAGTGATCTAGCGTTCGAATGGACCGCGTGGAAGTTATGGTGAATGGCCGGTTCGATGTGATTCAGGTATGCGCTAATATCAAGCGAAGAAGAAACGCGGAGATGTCGATGTACGGTTCTGAGGTGTGTTGGGTAGGAAGAGGCGTCTTTGATGGGAAGAGGGCTGGGGAATATTGCAGATTAAAGTAGTCCAGGACTGATGAACTGTGCTTTGCGACTCTCGTGAACTTGGATAGCTGCTAATGGAGGATTTGTCGATTATTGCTCCTGCGTGATGACGACGCACAACTCGTGGTGCTTATCAAATCGACCTGCGGCTTCAGTGTCAGTAAAAGAGCAGAGGGTTTTGGGATATGATCGAGATGAACTGTAGGCTGCGATATGAGGGTTTCCTCATAGAGTGATGGCGGTTAAGCGTATATAAAAATTGAGAGTCGTGAGAAAATAAATGCCCACACGTAATCCAAGAACTTACCTGTTTGTACTGCGCGAGAGGGTGAGAAAGACGAGAAGACGAAAGTTTGGTGCTTCCAGTCGGTTGGGAGAATGGGTGTGAAGGGGAAGGGATATAACAAAGCAGAGCTTAGAAGATATAAAGTAGTGTGAGCTCTGGTGATGTGAGTCGTAAAGTAGAAAAGTGCGCAGGCAATACCCCGGTCGGTGAGGTGTGAAGAAGGGAAGAGTTGCTCAAGGGTCGCGGACTGTGAACATGTGATGTGATGCGAGCCCAGTATGGCAAGAAAATATTGTAGAAAAGGGTCTTGTCGATACCTAAGTTTGAGAGGTATGAAGGGGGAAGGGTTGCTGAAAGATCTCAGGCGGTGGATATAAGCCCCGTGAGGTGACGTGAGGCGCATGAGCGGAAGGGTCAAATAAGATCGTTCAGAGGAGGGCTGAGGAAGGTACGAACGAGGCTGTTAGAGGTGTAGCCTGTGCACTCAGTTATCGGTGAGGTACGAAGTGGGAAGAAACTTCTCAGAGCTCCCGGATGTAGTTGTTTTGATACACGCCCGTGAGTGAGATGTGTGTATGCGAAAGGTACCAACGAGACCTTCGAGAGGATGTAGAGGCTCGCGTATCGTGGGCGCTCAGCTGTTGTTCGAGTATGAAGAATCAATGGATTCCTTAAAGGGTCCGAGGACGTATGGACGTGGCCGTGAAGTGAGGTGTGCCTGCTGTAGGTCTGGCAGCTGCGAATGAGGGCGGTCAAGCAGAGAGCAGAAAGAGGCAAGTGTGGTCCTGAACGCTCAGGAGTCCATGAGATACGAATGGGCAAGTAATCCCTCAGGGGTCCTGGTTGAGTATGTGTGATATGAGTGTAAGGTGCGATTTGTATGTGCACATGGGACAAGCGGGAAGAGGGGGTGTTCGGTGTAGGGTGTAGAAGGTAAATGGACTTTTGCTCTTCCTTGTTGCGGAAGAAGAGGGAGAAGACAATCCTTGTTTCTATGCTTTTGTCATTGAATTGTTAAAGTGTAGGTGATGAATGCCTTTGGGTGGGGGAAGATGTAGTGGTTCAGTTGGGACGGGATGCGATGTTTTCTTAGCAGGCACAGTGAGGTCGACTAAACGGCAGGCACGATGGAGTCGCTTATTCAGGAAGGCAGGTCCCCTGCAGTGGGATCAGTCTAGGAAGGTGCAGATAATCAAAGGCGGTCCAGCTGTGTGGGATGTTCTGTGTATCAGTTTGTCAACATAAGAGAAGGCTACATAGACTGAATGCGACGTAGTGTGGTTCTCTCCCCACATGAGGCTTAAGTCGACTACACTACTAAATGCTGTCCGAAGTGTCATTTTGAGGGAAGACAACAGGTTGCCCAGGGGCCAGTGGAATCACTATGTCTTTAAGTCAAGTTTATACGGATCCCGAGTGATGTATAAGAGGAGCTCTTCAACGATAACGGGCTCGGTGACATACTATCAAGGCTGTTTGACATCTATTAAGGTATGTGCAAGATTAGGAGGCATATTTCAGGCCATAGCGAGTTCCAAGTTATGCCTAACATATGTTGTAAGCGGTTTAATTCATATCCTCAAATCTAACTTAGGTTCAAGAGATGTATAATTCTTCATCACTGAATGTGACGCGATATAATTGGGATCCATTGCAGATATCCAACGTAACGTTGTTGCTGAATAGGTGATTTAGGTGCCGAGAGAATCAGCAACACGATGGAAGTCATGATCTCAAAACATTATGCCGACTTACTCAATTGAAACAAACTCGTCTTAAATATAATGCCTATCCTTGTGGTTTTGTACGAAGAGTGGTCACGAGTGTCGTATCTGGAAAGCCTCAGGGGATGGAAACGTGATGTGCTTCCATTCCCAAGCCGACAGCCTTTCTCAACAAGTCAACAAACCTTGTGTATTACTTTGACAACAAGCAAAATACTACAATCACCAGAAATCGCCTCGCTGCTGACAAAACTATGGAAAACTCGACATCAGGTTGTGGATGACGTATCGCAAATGTAGGTAGGACTGCGGCAACAATTGTTAGAGCTACCAAGAGCTGGATACACGCTCTCATTCCTAGCTTCCCAAGAAACCCCATTTAAGTGGCAACATGTCACGAAGATTTATTCAATTGACAACAAAAGCAATGGTGACATGACTGGCAAGCGAGGCGATTCCGAGAATAGTCTAGACAGTGCGATCCTTTGTTAACCTATGGTGGGGCGACATGTCGAGCTTTATTCCAAATAGTACGGATATCAAGACTAATATCCTTTGTCCAAATCTCTTAGGTCACCGGTGCAATAAATTGCCACTTGAAACGATGTGTTATCAATAGAGTAGAATTTCTCGTGTGTATCGTCGGTTTCGAGGTGGAGTAGTCCTTGCCTCAGTGCCATCTTGTTATATCCAAGTCAAGCAGTGTTGCCATATTCATACAGTAACTCAGATGTCATTCCCAATCCACGTTCCCCATTATCATGTAAAAATCAAAAACTAAGGCTCGAACACAACGGCCATGGTGACCTTTCCCCCCCCCCCCCCCCCAAAATTTTGACCCCAAACTCCAAGGCGATGCCGGAAAAGGACGCTTTGAGACGCCGAAATCGGTTGTCTCTCGATACCCAATATGGGAAATAAAAGTGTCTCAGACGAGAACGGTCGAGAACCCCTCGGGCCGAGAACCTCAAGACCTCTCATCCTCTTCCGGGACGGACCGGAACTGACTCTCGCGAGGCAAGGGGTTCATCCGGAGCGGGCTGTCATCCACGTCCACGCTGTTGTGGCGTGATGTGCCGGGGCTGACGTTGATGCTGTAGTAACTCGACCGCGCATCGCGGCTCATCGGGCGCTGGCCCTTTCCGAATGTCATGGTGAAGCCGTTGAGAATCTCCTGGTGTCTGAGGTTGGTCTCGTTGAAGGGCCTCTCGCGCGGATCGGCCTCCTTCTCCTTGATGGCAGTCTTCTTCTTTGGCTTCTCTTCCTTTGCTGAGCGCCATCCAAATGTCTTTGCGAGGCGGAGAGCTGGGGACTTTGGGTCTGAGCTGGTACGCTCTCCCTGGCTAGGCTCGGAGATGGACTTGCGGCGGCGGAAGTGATCGCGGATGGCCATAACGAAAGTGTTGATGATATGTATGTAGAGCTATTGAAGAAGTGGATGATGGAAAGGCAGAAGATGATAACGGTGGCTGATCCTTTAGGAAACTGCTTGAAAGGGTGCCTGATATATTTGGTGATATGTTTGGACAGGTGAAGACTGGTATTGAAGATGTGTGGTATGGCTCTGGATTGGCGTTGTAGGCTGTTGGTTTGTCTGAGTGAATTAAAAGAGGAGAATATTGGTAGGGGAGCCCGATGGTATTTATCCAGGTGTTATAAAAGCCAAAAGACTTGGCAGCATGGGAGGGGAACGGATGTGGCGATCCCAAAGAATAGCACCGTTGGAAGGACCCAAGATGGTGGGATCCGTGTCGCTCAAAGGACCTTTCCAGGACCCTGCATGGTTGGGGTTGCTCGCTAGCCGCTGCTTTCACGACCCGTGAGGCCATATGCAGGGCAGCGTCCAAATGGACTAACAACGCGCTGGGTAGGAGTGGTAAGGCACCACTCACACCATACGGGCCGGAGATCGACTCTCCAGGCCGATGCTACCTTACGTGCTCAAGATGGAAGGCTTCTTGGATGGCGCAGCGTCCGCCTCCGGCTGTATGCGGGGGTCTTCTTCAAATGCGGGGCGACGCATTCCAAGAACACCTGTTCTGGTAGCCTAGCCATTGCTCTTGGAGAAGCTCCCTCGCCTTGGCCGATAGTAATGCCACCGGGTTCCGATGTTTCCTGCTCTCCCCTGATCCAGATGATCTTCAACGTGGCGGGGTTGAGGTCTTCGACGGTCTCGACCCGATCTCTAAACTCATTGTTCTGCATTCTGGCCGTCCCAAAATGTCTTCTTTGAGAAAATCGACCCGTCCCCGATGGTACCGGCCAGGCCGGTTAGCGCTGCAGGCCTGGATTCCCGCCATGTCTCACTTAGTCTCAGGTACTCTAAACTCAATAGAATCGTAAGCAGCAATTCTCGGGCTCAAAGATCAAACAACTACCCGCGCGTGTGCGTCGAAAGGACATCAATTGGTGCACTCTATCTCCAAAGACCTAGCCATTTCCGGAACGCCGCTACCAACGCAGTGACAACCGCCGGGCTGCTGCCAGAACCCATTCTGGCTGTCTTCGAGTCTGCCTAGTACCGAATCGAGCCAATTTAGATGTGCAGAAGGGGATACAAGCTTAGACAAAGAAGAACCTTGTGTGTGCGCTACCAAGAGTGCGCGAGAATTCGAGTACCCCTGCTGATCTAACATGGCTCATCGAGATGTGCACTCGGCTCCAAAAACACCAGCGCTGCTAGATCCAAGGCCTCCCAGAGCTGTGAGACCCCAGGCCAACGCTGCAGATTCCCAGTCCATATCCTCATCGGGCAGTTCGTCGCCTTCGACAGCAGTGCGGCTTTCCGCAGGACTCGGCTCGTACGCATCTTCTGGTGCCTCCTCGGGGTTTGCCGTACGCTTCAGGGTACGGCCTTGACGAGTGCTTCTAGACGAAGGTGTCTCTGAAATTGTCATCTCTGCAGACTTATTTTTTTCTGCATGTTGATTGCCCCTGCGTCGCGTGGAGACTGTGTTGGTGTGGCTGGACGATTCCGATTCCGGCTTTGTTTTGTCACTTCCTCCCAGTAGTCTGGGTGGTGGCTTTGCCTTCGATAAATCGTTGGGAGCGAATGGAGTAGAGGCAGCTAGAATGTCATTTACATCCAGCACACGTGTAGCCGCCCATAAACCTTGGCTGAGTCCGCTGAGCAAAACGTCCCATGCCACAGCAGCTACAACAGGATGGTCGGATGCCGATCCCAAGACTTTCCCCAGCGCCGTTGTTGTACGCTCCCACGTCGAGCGTTTCTCTGTGTCAAAAGGCAGGAACCGGCTATGACGATGATAGTGGGCATTTGGCGCATTGTAAAGCAAAGCAAGCGCGGTGCCTTTGACGTGGAAGGCAAAACTTGCTGTGGACACAAAGCGAAAGAGTTCAGTGAATATGCCGTATGCTCCGTGAGGATCAGAGTATACTGTGCCCCAACTAGCTGGAATGACGGCGGGAATGACAATGGGACCAAAGGTCAGAAGTCGCCCAAAGATTGCGATCCGGGCAAATGTCGCTGTGCCTGTTGTCGACGGAGCCCAGTATATCAGAACGTATGTAAAGCAGAACGATGCCAAGAGCAAGGCCGGGTGTGGCGTCCAATTGATAGGCTTCACAGGCAGTAATCTCTCGCGCAGGCGTCCTAGTGCAGAGGTGGGATGTCTGTCGTCTGCAGTGGTGGTCGGGGCAGGAGTAAGAAGCAGTGCGAGATAGAAGAGGTTCTGGGCGAACGAGAGGCTGACGAGATGTGCTAATCCGAGGTAGGCCCAGACAGAAGGGATTCTTCTTCGTGTGCCTTCGACTGCCAACAGCAAGCTCCATGAGACCGTTGCGAGTTCGATTTGCTGGCCCCACCAGAACCGACGAGCTTTCTCGGCGATGATCTCGAGAGCGTCTAGGTGTATTGGAGTGTCACTTAGCCAGCGGCCAATAAAGACTTGAATCGCAGTTTCGTTAGGGATGACTCCATGATCGCCATAGAAGCTAAGGTTCCATGAGTAAGCCAGACAAAGAAAGCGCAGAAGACGAAACAAACCGAACTGGAGCTTCAACTCCACGCTGATCTGCCCAGACGCGATATGAAAGTTTCGCATAGCTTGAGGCCCAGTAACTTGCAAAAGACAAGCTAATGAGTGCCAAACTTGCGAACAACGGCGCAAGAGCTGAACGGCGAACAAGTCTTGCTCTTGTTCCTTGAGATGGCGGCAAGTGCTGATACGAGCTGTACAGACTTCGAGCGACAGTGGTGCCGAGAATTGCCACTGCAAGTGCATGGCCAGCCACCAAGCTCAAAGGCAGGTACCTGAATATCACGTTAGGATCGTTGGCTTTCATTTCGATGATCAAACACACTTCACTTCCGGTTCCAAGGGCACCGGCGCCATGTTTGTTTCGGTGAAATGGCTAGACGACTGATGCTGATTATGGTGTTGTTACAGGATGGTCAGCCACTTTGAAAAGTGCACCGAGGTGAGTGATGTCGACCTCGGGGGTCAAACGATGTAGGTGCGGCGCGCGTCATCATAGCACACACTTGGGCGCGTTCCTTGGAAGCTCACTCGACAGCCTTTGCCTGCTGCTGTTAATCACAGCGTCGGTATGAGGTGTACAACTACCTCCATTCGGGCAATATGTGCTGTGTCGTCATGGTAGCGGTACCATGCTGCCAGGTAGACAGGGGCCCAGGGCGTCTGGCGGGAAGTGGAGTTCCAGGACCTGAACTGCACGTCAAGCACAGACCAGCGTGAGCCGGAGAAACAGAAACGGCGGCAGGGCTAGCGCGGGCAGGACGGCGACCAGCCCCACACCTCACCAACCATAAAAATCTCTTCTTGTGAGGAAGCCTCTCTTGTCTTCTCTTTTCCTCTTTACTACAATCCGGATCAAATTTACATCGACATATGTTTTTGGTCTGTATGGCGGCTCCGCTATGCGGCTTGCTGAGGGTTGTCCTGTTCTCCTTGGACTTTCTTCCGTTCCCGGCCTCCTAAAGTAAATCCTATGTGAACACCTTTCCTTATCAGCCGAGTATGACGACTCTTCCTGGTATTTGACTGTGGGGTGGTCTCAACATCCTTTTGTAAAGGAACCTGAGTTATTAAAACGGAACCTGTAGTGCGGAACAACTCGTTCGTGTTCCTACCGACCTGAAACCTGTGCGCAGAAGAGCCAAATGGGCCAAGAGAGCAGTTGTTCCTCCACACGCCAATGCCTCGCAAAACCTTGGTTGAACCATGGTCTTTTACCAGTTACCTGGTTAGATTACGGAATCCTCCGTCTAAAATATTGGCCGGGGATCTCAGTAGTGACTTACGCGCATGACAGGCGGATCGATCTACAAACCTACGTCGAGATTTGCGCCTATGACACTGTCGTGTGTTTGCACGGTTGCTGTCGGTTTAGGGACGACGTTAGGCTGCTACCTTTCAATTCCTGAACCATGGAAGCAGAGGCCTTATATGACTGTCCAACACGAACGGTCATCCTCCGCCAAAAGTGACATGGGAGCAAGCGGGTCCGTCTCTATGGCAGCTATGATCACGCCTTCAGGTTGTCAGACGTAGTTGGTGCCTCGACCTCCGCGACCATTCTTCCAGACCAGGAATATGAGGACAATAGTCGTCAGCGCGAACCCGAACGTCACAAACTGCATAGCCTGGTCTGCGGTTGCCTTCCTGCACCTCTCTAACAAGACACTTTCGGTCATGCCAGGTGCCAAGTACCACTGTCCATCCTGCTTGAATTTTCCACCGTTGATGATATCGTTGTTCCCAATGGCTTTCCAATGCTTTTCGTCACATGCAACACCGTGTAACCCAATTGCGAAAGCCTGCCATGTTGTTAATAGCAAGTACATGGTATGATCATCGAAGGACTTACTATACCACCGCCGAGGAGTAAGACCCCACTCAAGGCGTCCGCGGCCATCACTACGAGAGCCGGAATGGCGTCTATGAAAACAGCTACCAAGCCCAGCACGGCGACGGCTAATCCAAAGCCGCCAGTAAATGTGCTGTATTTGGTAGTCGTGGGAGCGTCGCCAATCTTCTGTCCCTTGACGAGGTCGATAGATAGCCCGAGGACAACGATAGCCATGATACCCTGAGGGACGCGCAGTGTTAGCTCAACCTGATTTCCAGGGTTCATTGAACGAGACGAGTGTATTATCGCAAACCTGAAGAGCCCAAACGCCCATGCTGATGAGGTTCAGCATCTTCTTAGCTTAAGACTATGCTTCGTTGAGAATGTAAGTGACGTGCTTCTGCACGAATGATAATCTTCTTGCTGTACGAGATATGACAATGATGCGATGCAGACAACAAAAATTCGTAACGAAAAAGTGCGACAAAGTAAAAGGCGATAGATACCTCGCTTATATAGTATGCTCATTCAAAAACGAGGACAGCCCTTGAGTAACTGTGTCACTAGAAGCAGCAGGCAATCAACGACCAAAAATGATCTTTAATCGGTCTCAAGACGGCGCAGTAAGGCGTTACTTGTTCTGCTCCCGTTTCTAAGTGACACATAGATGAATTTCCTGCATGTTTGCGCCGCTGGACGAGTCACAACGACTTCTCATCGGCTACTTGCATATCAGGCAGGCTGCTTTGCCAGCTTCTGCCCGGTACTACTCTCCAATCATTGTACCACAGGGCTTCCTCCCTCTCATCTTAGGGCATACAGTCTGGCTCAGGCTTGGGCCTCACAGGCTACAGCAGGCAACAAAAGGAAAACTGAAGAGGCAGTGAGTCAGTTCCGAGACTGATCCTACAGAGTCTTGCACTCGAGAGCATCGAATCAGGTTCCACCATACAAATGTAGTTCAGCAAGAATTGGTTCGGAAACAAGTAGCCAAGGGAGTGGGCCACCGCTTCGCAAGAAAGAGCAGATACGACCTCGCTTTTGCTGGTATGACATGTTATTGTTTGCCTGTCTAATTCTGGAAACACTATCTCGGCGCCTGGTCAGATCGCTACCTCACCTTGGGTGGACCCTCCCCATGCCATTACCTGTGGGCACCGCCTTTACAGGCTGCTCCAGCTTCGGGGCAAATGAAGGACATTGATATATTACCTGACGTGCCAGCACCAGTAGTCGACTTTCTGGCGAATGCTGACTCATCACATGAAGGTTAAAAGAACTGCTGCGATGAGGTAAGCCGGAGAATCTGAACTTGAGCTTTCCCGAAAGATGGCCGGATAAGTGGAGTCCATCTGAATGTGCCAATGCAACTGTATCCGTCACTTTCCACTGCCTTTCTGAACGCACGGGCCAAGTCGCGATTGGTCTGCCCAAATTTTTTCGACAGCTTCCATCATCGGCCTGCAAGCCCACATCTCCTGTCCACTGTCCAACTCCGATCCCCGGCTTCATTCATCCGCCACGTCCACAACCTTCACCATGTCGTCGCTTTGGGATACCCTTTCTGGTCGCAAGTCCTCTCAGAAGGACGCCGGTGCTTCCCAGTCTTCACCGGCCCCCGAACCTACAACCACCTTCCAGAACACCCCAGCACAGTTCGACCCTTCAGCAGGATCTGGCGTCGAGTCTTTCCTTCAGAGCTCATCCTTTGCCGACCCCGCGCAACTACACCCCCTCTCTGGACTGAACAAGGACACACTCGAATACCTTTCTCTCGAAGATGCGGCTCTGGCGGATGTCCCTGGCCAGTCTGCCCTCCCCTCCCGAGGCTTCACCGATGACCTTTGCTACGGAACGGGAGTCACATACTTGGCAGCCTTGTCGATAGGAGGAGCCTGGGGACTGCAAGAGGGTCTGAGGAGATCAGCCAACCAGCCGCCGAAGCTACGACTTAACTCAGTGCTTAACGCCGTCACTCGCCGTGGCCCCTTCCTGGGTAACTCCGCTGGTGTCGTTGCCATTACCTACAACTTTTTCAACGCGGGTATCGGCTACTTCAGGGGAAAGCACGACTCTGCCAACACGATCTTGGCTGGCGCTTTTAGTGGAATGGTTTTCAAGAGCACAAGGGGTGTGCGGCCCATGTTGATTTCCGGTGGTGTTGTGGCCTCCGTGGCCGGTGCCTGGGCTGTAAGTTGCCGCCTTCACAAGTATATTGGCGTCGCATATCTAATCGTTTTCGCAGGTTGTCCGCAGTACTTTCTTCTCTGCCCCCGAGCCTATTACTTCCGAGCATGCCACCTTGTAATTTACGACATAACCTGACGAATTGTCCCCGTTGAAACCCGCCAGTAATGATTATTCATTATGCCCATGGATCACGTTGGATCTGTGGACGATGATGCTCGCCATTGCGAGCTTCTTCTATCTGTTGTTTGAGTAAGGAAATTTAGAGCGCCTTAGAGGAGTCTTGGGCATTGTGACGGACGATCTCTCCTCAAGTGGACCCGTGTACAGTATTTAGGAAGGAGCATTAGAAGACCGCATCACTGGGTGGAAGTGGGCGTTCGGTACCTGTCAAAAAAAGAACAACATTACACGTTCCTTCTACGTCCAAGTGTCCTAGACGGTTGTTGCCATATTGGACTGGCCTGCCAGCCTGATGGCAATGGAAGAGACGTCCTGAGCAGCATCTAACTAGTACAGGCTCTCCTCAGGCTGCCGATCGCCTTTCATCGCTACCCCTATGCCGCAGGAAAACATAAGCATGGAGATGCAGCAGGCTAGATACCATTTCTATTATGTCTGCTTCACCTGAAATCGCGTGATAGACTCGACGTGAAGTTATTTTTCACTATCAGCTACGGTCACGACCGCGGAAGATGAAGACATCCGCAACTCGCGACAAGCTTGATCGATCTTGAGCTGGACAATATACAAGCTAGAGCGAAGCATCTCGATCGCGCTACATCTGATATAGGTTCAATAGGAGTTCACGTATACAACGAAGTCGGTGGACAACGCTTTCTTCCCTACGATACCTCGTCGCCACTACCTAGAGAAACAAGCTATCTCCCCGAATCTCTCAGCGTCCGAGAACACGGTCTCCAACGATTCGGTCGTTGTCGTATGATGGGCTGGTGGTCTTGTACGAATGTTTGTCGCAGGAGATCGGCGAGACCGATGAGACCGACGATGCCTACGGTGCCTACGATTAAGCTCGCAGCGATGATGGTACTGAAGGTCTTAGTCCTCCAAGCGAGCTCGATGACATTGGAAACCACAAGCGGGCATTGCATCTCTTCCTGAGGAAAAGGTTCAAAAATATCCGTAACTTTCGTTGTGAAAAACCCTGCTGACTTCCATTTCTTAGATCCAGGAAGTTTCCCGAGTAAAAATGTTTTGCCTGAGTAATTCCTCTCTGATCGACAGCGAGTCCTCTCACGTCGTATTGATATACCTTGACAGGAATGGCGGCTCGATCCTCCAGAAGTCATCCTGGCCGGTGTGGACCGACTTCGAAGCTTTCATCAAAACAATGTCTGTGTATCATTACGAGGCCACCATCAAACGGGGCGGTAGCGTGGAGAACATCAAGTAAACTTTCCTACAAAAAGTCGGCGACTTTATGATATCAAAGTCGGATACGCATCCCCCCAAAATCGCCATCGCCAGGACGTATCCGACCTGGTTCAATAATCTTGGCACGATGAATGATACGTGGAGTTACGCGAGGATCGACGCCCAACAAAGTGTTGACATTGCAGTGAACGAGAAGGCCTCGCATGACCTTGGTGGCAAAGATGCCTTTGATACGATGAATAGAGTAGGAGAAGCAGAAGAAAATACAGTTGGCTTGGTCAAGGTAAGTCAAGCACATCGCGTTTCGGGTCGAAGACTTGGGATTAACCGCTCATTAGCTGTGGCAGCGCAAATCGATCAAGCAGCTGCCCGAAATCCTGCAACTGGTCGGCCAACCTTTGCTTGCGCCTCTGGCATCAATGTTCGCTGCAAACGGCTTCTTTCCTCATGACATTGACAGACTGTTGGAATCTTCTTTTGACGGAGATATTGAAGACAATGATTGGCCTGCGGATTTCCGCTGATGGATTTTGCGCGTTGTTCTTGTTCGCTCGCCCCATGGTAGCTCAGCCACGTGTTGACGCGAGTATCGATTGTGCTTCGGAGTTGGATATTCGTATGTCTTGGCCAGTTTGGCACCTGCGTTTCGGTCTTTTTATATTGCCGTGAGGCTCACATTGATAATTAATGAACTGCGTTGTCGCATTGCATCCGCTATGTACCCGATATCAATTCCAAGGAAGATGCGGTCTTCTTTCAATATCAAGGCATGCAAAGGGCCAGATTCATCATCAGTGATTACCATCCCAAGCGCCATTCGAGATCAAGGACCTAGAAACCGCCTCTAGAGCGAACCTGTCGCAATCGATTGCTGCTTAAAACCCCACTCCCGACTGACTTCATCTTTCACTCCTACCACCACCGTCCTCGGACCCGAATCCTCAAGCAACATTATTGCAAACTATTCGAATCTTCCCGACTGCTCGTCTTCCAGGCAACGTCAACATGTGCGGATTTTGGCCTTTCTCGAAGGCACACTACGACAACGAGGATCCGCCACTTGTCTATCGCCTTGGCTGGGATGGCCAGAGATACGCTATAGATGTTGTAAGTAGAATGTCTCTTGGATACCTTTTGCTTTCTTTACCCTCTCTTGCAATCCCAACCATTGCCGTTATTTCCCTCCGTTTTTCTAGTAAGCCCCCGGAAGATCATGCAATGACCTGCCCCCTTTTCTTGTCTTTCGGCCTCAGAGACAAAGAGCCGGCCAAGACATCACTGGAGCGGGTCATTGGTATACCAAAAGCTTCAAGCCGCAGTGGATCTTCATGCGGCTGGGTGAAGAGATCTGGCTGAGTTCTCGCCTTGGACCGCTCTTCAGATCTCTTCTCCTTCACATCTCTTTGATCAGCCTCATTTTCTATCAATTCACCCAAGACTGTGATGAGGTGAGAACTCTCAGCTCATCAAAGCCCTCCATCGATAAAGGAGTCTCGTCTCCTGGCATTTGGTCTCTACCCCTGGATTTCCGAGTTTGATACACCAATCGAAACAAAAACGACCTCGATACTCTAGAAACAAGGTTTCGGCGTCGAGTTCAACATACAATCGAGTCCAGCAAATCCGCCATGAAGTCTCCCAAGAGCAAGTCGGCTGCCAATACCACCGGCCCGCGGCAGGTGCGCTTCACGGAGGACCGCAGCAACCCAGGTGCCTCCTTCCCCGTTACCCAGGGAACCGACACCTCGACCGCTCCTGCCTTCAACACCCACGAAAGCGACGTGGGTGAAGACAGCGGTGTTTTCCTCCACACCTCAACCAATCCCTCTGCCTCAGTCAATCTTGGCCATCACTTTCCTCCCACACCCTTCGGTCAGGCTGCTCACCCACACCTCAACCCTTTCATACCCTCCACCGTGCACCCCGCCTACATCTCCGAGACCAACTCGTTCGCGCCTTTCGGTAAATTCAACCCGTACGGACTTACCGCGCCTCCCTACGTCAACATGGCCGACTACCAGAACGTCGCTCCGCCTACTAGTGGCCTTCACTTCCAGCCGCCGGTTCCCGACACCACCTACGGCCCCATGCAGCACGTTTACGTGCCTCGCTTCGACAACGGAATGCCTCCAGTCTATCACGTCGGTCTCCCTCATGCTCAGGCTCTGCCAGTGGCCTCTTTTGTTGCCCCGAAGCCTACTCCAGTTCTGCTTGGCGCACCTCTTGTTGTTGTTCATTATTATGCAAGTCCCCAGCGCACATACGCTGCGATTGCTTCCTGAGCCGAGCGGCTTGTGTGATTCATCGGGCACCTGGATTTCTTTGCTTCATCTAGCCGCCTCATTTTCATCTCACTAAGCTCACCCAAGGTTTCGAGAAATAGTTTGCTGACTTGAGATTGTAGCAGTCCCCCGCCAACAACATCACCTACATTGGCCAGGCCCCCCCTCAGCCTCCCATCATCATGGCCCAACAGCCTGCTATGCACGCGGGCATGAGCATGCACCCTCCGATCATGCTTCAGGCTCCTCCCGCCGGTTTTAGTGGCCCTCCCATGTTCCAGGGTGCCCACATGGGTATGAATATGCCTCCCAACATGGGCGGAGGTGGAATGCCCGTCTTCCCAGGTAATACCAATCTTCCTCCGGACGTCACTGGATATGGCAAGACCGCTGGAGAGGTCGCCATGGAGCAGGCCCAGTTTGCCTATTCCAATGGTCTCTTCGAGCCCCAGGACTTCAAGCCTGCGGACGATGACCCATCCCGCTACTATCCCGTTCGAGAGGTTGATGGTAACTGGACCCAGCGCAATCGTTTCACTATTGACAACCTTGGCGATTGCCGTTGGTATGTCACCAACGAGGGCTACTTCTACGCCGTCCGTTTGCCCAACTGAAGTATTCCTTCATCATAGGTATTTCACCTCAATTAGAAGGAAACGAGATGAATTGCTAACGTTCCAAGCAGCGTCAACGGGCAGCGAGATGATTTGGAAGATCTTGGGGTGAATGATGAAACGGAGAAGATGCCCTCGTGAGTATGCGAAAAGGAATGAGGAGGCCCCCATGTCTGATCATAGCAGATGATTCAACTTTCCGGCAACTTGCCCTTCAGACCCCTCTAATCCGTCATTGGCCCTCAGACCGTCAGGTAAGGCATGCAATCTATGGCAAAGCTACAACAACTGACAAGATATTAGGACGATCATTAGAGCAGATAATCTGTCTGCTTTAAGGATTTGTTCACGTCATTCGCCCAAGGACAATACGGATACCAGATTGGGCTGAATGGGATGAAAGGGAGAGGAGGATAAAGTCAATGGTTTCCTATGTCGACATGCCAGAGAATGCTCTCGCCCAGGCCGCCAAAGTTGCGGTTAAGGTCGAAATTGGAGGCAGCTTCAATGCGTGGCTTGGAAGTAGACCGATATTTCTATTCCTGGGGTCGTTTGACGATGGCTCGGAAGAGGCTGGATGCCTCAACCTGGCCCTAGGTAGATTGCGAACCCCATAAGAGTGATTTCGAGACGCCACATTTGCCTGATTATTTTGCATGCGTGAAAAATCAAAGCGATGCGAATGAGTGGGTTTATTTAGCTGTAAAGAAGTCTGTAAGGTATGATTGAGCGTGACAGGGAATTATTTCTCTCTGAATTTGAGATCATGATGTCCAAAGAGAATTGGAGCCTTTCTTTTTTGCCTACTATTATTTGTACTCTTATTGGATGATTGACATGTGATTTACTTTCAGAGTCCAGTAGTACTGGCTACCTAAAGTAGGTGATTTACTTTGGGCAGGTACAGAAGTCGGGCAGTTCCTTCCAATGCGGGCGAGGTAGTCACTCTGACCTGGCTTCACCTACCTTCGTACTCAGGATTCACCTCCTTTTGCATCCAATGAACCCATCAATGCAGAGATACCACCCTAATTCTGTGCTTTCCCTTCCTGAAAGTTCTCTAGAAAGAAACTAGTCGAAGGCGGATTCCGCAATATTCGTTGACGATCGGGCTGCATCCACAGTACAGAACCTCCCACTGACAGCATCTCGGTAGTCAACCTCCACCATGACGCGTAACGCCCGCAGCTCTACTCTCTGCGAGTGGGCCCTTGGCGTCAGCGTCGAGGAATACTGCAACTCTATTGAAAGGCGCAGACGCAAGAAGTCCAGCAGCAGACAGCGGATCTGCGTCGAGATTTCCACCGACGACGAATCCGAGGAGGATACGGTCAAGATCACATACCCGCGCGCCAATCGCAGCAAGGACTCTCCGGGACCCGGCTCCAAGAAGGTCCGTTTTGAACAGGCCTCGTCAAAGCCTGCGCTGAAGGCTGTGGACGCAGAAGCTAAGTCCAAAGGTGATACCAACATCCAGTGCGGGCATGAGTATCGAAATTCATCAGGAGAAGACGAAACTAACCACGGAGGAAGCAGACATGAAGAAATCGGAGAAGACAGATGACACATCCGAATCTGAGTTGGAAGCTAAGTCGAAGAAGAAGAAGAGAGGTGCCAAGGCAGCTATGAAGAAGGTAGTGGATTCTTCGTCCGAAAGTGAGACAGATGAGACTGAGGAGGAGACGCCGGCACCTCTCAAGAAGAAGAGACAAGAAAAGACGAAGGACAATGTCAAAAAGTCATCTAAGACGAAGGAAAGCGCCGTTCCAGCCGATACCGAGCCCAACAACGTCGGTCCTACAGTCAAGAAAGCCCGAAGCAAGAATGGAGGAGGGAAGACGAACGAGACCAAGAAAGTCGACAAGCCTCAGAAAGTAATGCCCAAGGCGGCGTTGTCTCCTCACCTACGCCGACCCAATCTCATAATGCCCATTCGCGCGGAGGTCATTCAAGTTGAGCATACCATTGAGGGCGTCGAAGATCCTCGACCCAACGCATTCCACGACCCTCAGCACGGCGTTGTCCGAGTCTATCATGGACCAGCCTACGGCAATCCTTACGGCTTGCTCTATCCTGCTCGCGATCCAAACAATGCTCCTTTGCCGATGGGCGTCCCCCATCCCCTGCAGAACCCCTATTTTTACGGTTTCGCCAATCCCTCAAACCCCGGAGACAACCACTTCAAGGGCCAGTCTCCCTGGGGCTCTATGCCCGTCACTTGTATGCCTGGAGGACCGCCAGTCATGGCAGCAGTCGACCCGATGCAGATGGGAATGCAGATGCCGCCGTGGTGGGGTCCCTCGTCTCCTAAAGGTCTTTCTCCAAAGGGATCTCCGAAGCATGTTATGTCGGGGGCCATTCCAGCAGACGCAGCATCGACGACAGGTGCCAAGAATAAGGAGCAAGGATGGGATACCAACGTTGGTCCTCAACAAACCAAGGCTGCTTCGCCTCTGGCAAAGGTAGCGAGTCCCAATAACGTGGCTCCTGCTTCTCCTATCAACATCAATTTGACGGTGAATCCAAATACACCATGGGCTGCATTTGCTAGCGACCTCAGCAAAAAGTCTACTCCTAACAAAAATGGATCGCAAAATGGAAGCAAAAATTCCTGGGGATCGAAGAAGAGCACAGACTGGCAGCCCCTGGGCAGTGGCCAGCATCCTGATCTTGCTTGGGGCAACACTCCCACAAAAAGCCAGGGAAGTAACAAGGGAAGCAACTCGGGCTGGACGAAGATTGGGGATGCGAACAATGATTCTTGGGGAGCGACTGGAGGCAGTGGAAGCAATAGTGGGTGGAACACCACGAATACTGCCCAGGCCAATGATGCTTGGGGAACACCCGGCAACACTCAAAGCAACGATGCCCAGACAACTTCTGGTGGCGACGGCTGGACGGCGATGAATGGTAACACTTGGGACAATACCGACAATACGAATAAGGATGGATGGGGAACCTCCGATGACCAGTCAGCCGATGCCTGGGCTAAGTCTGGAGGCGACTACAGCAACAACTGGGGAACTGGATCGAATCATTCCAACTCGAAGAAGTCAAATAAAAGCCAAAATGGCAATGGAAGCAATCGAGGCACTAGCGGTCAAGCCAAGGCTGCTACGGACTGGGATGGCCAGGGAAACAATGTTGGCTACTCAGGATCGGAGCGTAAAGTGTCAAACAACTCGAACAAGTCTAGCAAGTCGAAGAAGACTTCACCACCGCCGCCCTCAACCAATGCTGGCTGGGACAACAACGCTGGGCCTTCGACCAACAGTCCCGTTGGTAACTCGTCCAACAAGGGCAACGGAAATGAGAAGAGCTCAAGGAATGCGTCCAAGGGCGATGCGTGGGCGACTGCCAGCAACTCGGCCTGGACTACATACAACAACGCTGGCCCAACGACCAACAATAGCCCCCACAATTCCCACTCGTCGAAGAAGAGCTCGGGAAGCAAGAGGGAAAAGACTGATCAATGGGTTTCGGCTGGCGGCGGTGCCGGATGGGGCCCCGAGACCACGAGCGGCGAAGTCAACTACGGCCCGACGGCGACCGAGATGAGTAAGACTTCGAGCAGCAGCAAGAGTATGCCAGGCGCCTGGGATACCAACGTCCCTCCTTGGGGAGATCCGACTTTGGCGCAATCGACAGGCGGTGCGGCAGACCAATGGTAGAGGTGATTATGGCGAAGCCGAGCTCAGGGGGAGCTCTTGAATGGTACCGCAGCAGTAGAAGCGGAAGGGTGGTCGGCTGGCGGGAGGTATTTGACAGCAGCTGGTAGAATTTTTTGGAACCGACAGATCTTGGTGATCTGCACATATTGGGGCGTTTTCCCCAACAAGGAGGTTGTGGACTTTGGCGAATGCATTATTTGACAATGACTTGGGAAGGGGAAGGGGGGGAGTCTGCGGGTTGAAGAGACATTGAGTTTTACGAGCCTAGACTGTTTTACCCGCACGGGAGGCGCGCGGGGCGTTGCAGCTTTCACCCGAGTTCTACATCAGCTGGAGGACAAACAGCTTGGCACCAGAAATTGACGTAGATAGATCAAGAAACATTGAAACAAAGGTGTCGGTCAAAGAGTGAGAGTAGATGGTTTGCCAATGGCTGCAGTCTACAAGATGTGTGCTACCTACGTACCGACATCCCGTCCACCGACGAGAGATGTTCCAGGTTAGGGGAAACGCTCAGTCGCCGAATGGAGATGGGAACCGGAGGGAAAGAAAACGAGCGGACTGTTCTGGCAATGCTGCCCAGAAAAGATATGCGAATTCAAAGTTAATGTTGGGCACGAAAAGTCATTGACTCCGAAATGCCAATGACGCCTCCCAATTTCTCCGTCAGATGCGCATTTACTCGTCCTCCTCGCTAGACTCCTCCTCCGAGGCCTCCTCGAGCCACTTGATGAAGGGCTCGGCGGCCTTGCGGACCTTCTTGGAGGTGGCCAGGTCGGTGTACTTCTTGCTGGCCTTGGTACCCCACTTGACGGCGACCTCCTCGCTGAGGAGATCGTGGTTGTAGTACAACTGGAGGATCTTGACAACTTTGTCAAAGATGTCGGGGTGCTCCTTGGCGAGCTGGCCAATGAGGCGCTCGGTACCACCGAGGAGAGCCTTCTCGTGGCGCTCAGAGGTAACAAACTAGGAGATGAAGTGAGTCAAGGGGTCATAGCCATTGGTCCAAACGATGTGAACATACCTGCTTCATCATGCCGGCGCGCTTGGGGATCTGGGCGAGAATGTTCTCGTCGAAGATGGTCTGCACCAGAACCAAAACGGAGCGGTGCTTGGTCTCGATACCAAGCTCCTTGGCCTTGACAAAGATGTCAATCGAGTCGACCTTGTCGACACTGCCCTTAGCAGTGGCCTCATCCTGGATCCAGGTGCCAAACTCGTCGTAGACGGTGCTGCCAGAGGCCTCGCCATCCTCGTCTTCGTCATCGCCCATGTTGAGCTTCTGCTTGAACTCGCCGGGGAGCTGAGCCTGACGGGCCTTGACGGCCTCCTCGCTCATGTCGACGGCCCACTCGTGCTCCTGGGTCTCAAACTGGTCAATCTCGGGAGCCTCCTTCTTCATCTTCTCCAACTCGTCATCACTACCAACATCCTGGTCGTCGGCGTCGTTGGAGCCGTTGTCGGATCCTTCTCCGCCGCTTCCGCTTCCCTGTCCGTTCTCCTTGGTACCGTTGGCCTTCGCGCGGCGGGCAGCCTTGCGCTCGGCCTTGTCCTTCTTGCCCTTCTTCGGCTGGTTCTTCAGGATATAGCCGCTAAGCTTCAGACGGAGGTCGACCTCGGAACGCTGGCCACAGGCCTTGCAGTCGAGGAGGATGCGACCGTCTTTGATGTTGACGTCGGTCTCGGGGTTCTTGCACTTCTTGCAGAGAACGAAACGGTTGATGAAGCCATCGAGGTGGTCTTGCAGCTTAGCGGCGTTGTGGGAACCGTTGATAATCCAGCGGTCGTCGGCGGGGTCAACGTTGGTCTGGGCACCGAGCTCGAAGCCGAAGTACTTGATGACATAGGCACCGGGACGGGCGAGAGACTGGGCGACGCTGCTCAAGTTGACGACAACGGTCTTGATACCGTTGCCCTTGCCCTCAATCTTGGTGACGATCTTTTCCATCTTGTAGCGATAGAAAGCGTCCTTGACGTCGCGACGAACGTTGATGAGGGAAGCCATGATTGCGATATTGGTAGTAGGTGGACTGAAGAAGAGTCTTGGAAGAGTATTTTTGATTTAGGAGGGTTGATTGGATCTGGAGTTAAGAGGCTCGGGATGCGAAGCTGGTAGTGCTGTCGTTTGGACGGGCGGGTAGCATGAAGAAGCCGGAGGTCGTGATAGTATAGGATCGACTGATTGGCGAGGAAGCTGGTAGGGGAGCAAGAAGGCGGACTCAATGCTCAAGGGTTCTTTTGATGAACATAGGGTAAAGCGAGACTAGATCGTCTTTGCTGTCGAGAATTCATGAACTCCTCTGGGTTCGGAGATTTCAGCCAACGGAACTGATGTTGGGGCTACAAGGTTTCGCTATGCGAAATGATTGCAGCTTGGGGACGAAGTGTCTGAAGACGGTGGTATTGTCGTGCTGATACATAAACTGCTATGTGGCTTGTACCGCGTGAGGGTGGTGTTGTATGTTCAACTCTCGCGGAAGAAGACTCGGTGGTCGGGAACGCGGCGAGAGAGGATGCTACTGGCGATTGTTGACGATACTGTGGTTGTTTAGGGCGGGGTGTTGGGTGGTGGTGGTGGAAAGTGGCGACGTTCTCAGGAGAGAGAGGGGTGGAGGTGGGAAGAGGTTTTGTACGCTTTGGAAGATTTTACCGCGGAGGACGCGAGGATGCAGAGATGCCTAAGCAGGGCGGTGAACTGCGATTGCGAAAAGGTGGGTTTAAGATAATTGCGAGATGTGCTCGATTGGATCTCCGAGCGGAGGGTTTTGTGCGTTTTTTTCTTGTGGGTGGTGGGAAGAGGAGAAAACGGAGGTGACTGGGCAGTGAGCGCAGAGTTTTGGAAAAGGCTGAGGTGGAGTCGGAGGGCGGTGGTGGTGGTGGCCTTCTTGGTGGTAGTACGGAGTAGAGGTGGCGGCGGCAGGACAGGAAGTTCGGAAACACATGAAAAGTCCCAGAAAGAAATGCCTAGAATGAAAATGAAAATCCCTAGGAATAATAAAGTGGACCTCCCTTAGAGCGCTTGCCTACGAATTCATTGCCTCCTCAGCACCTCATTCACTAAGGCGTCCCCCCAAAGGACACTCAAGGTTTGGGCGCTGGGGGCGGCGGGGAGTCTGGCGGGCTGGCTGGCCCTTGCCTCGTGCCTGTCAGAGTTGCGCCACCACTCAAAGAACCCCCTGGAGCCGTTCTGTCAGACATGGACCTCAGAACAACCAGCGAGCCTTAAATCCGAGTTTGAGGTTGTCGTTCGCTCGTTCGCCTGCCCCGCGGCACCACCGGGCCAGTCCAGTGCCCAGGATGCAACACGCAGCTGGGCAGCCAGTTCCACTTGCTGCCTTGCATGTTTCCCGACCTTTCTTTGAACTTTGGCCTCAATTTTTTTTGTTGCTGTGCTATGTGTCGTCTTACATCATGGCACCCAAAATAGGCATTTGGATATTACAAGGCATCGAGACAACAGCGACCCCAATTATCTTGCCTTCTCTTCCTCTCTCTGTGCTCTTTACACCCTCAAGAGTGTTTCATACTCGTTTGTTTCTCTCATGATTATTTCAACACCTCCTGCCTTCATCAGGCAATACTTGAGACAGCGAAGGGTTGGGAAAGCCTAAAGGCCTGGCGCCGTTTCCTGGTTCCATTGGCATTTTAAAGGGGGAAACCCGCGACAGCTCCGCGCCGGGCACGGGCCAATCAACGGTCTTTCCCGCTTTTCGAGAAAGCGCAATTCGCACCGCAATTGTGCGGGAAAGGTCAAGGAAGCTTTCCAAAAGATCCGGGGCAGCACGTAGCAGCGCAAGCAGAGGGACGGGCAACATAAAACTAAAAATAAGCGACAAAAAAGAATACCTAGCCGAGTAGGCACACCTAACATGGGTTTTAGGAATTCCCCGTTTCGCCATCAGGTGGATCCAGTCTCTGCAGCATGCAGCCTACTGTTCGCCATTGCTTTTGCTCGCTCGCCTCGCCTAACGCCGGCTCACAAAGCCGAGCCAGTCGTTGCCATGCAAGTCATCACTCGACTTGCAGTTTGCCTTGGCCAAGCAAGCTATGGATGGATGTGTTCAAAAAGCAGGGCAGTTGGCAGCGGAAAGCCTGGCTTGTCCACGTATGCGGTAAATGTGTGTGGTCCCAGTGAACTCCCAAGCAAAGACCACACAGGGACGCTACACAACGACGTACATTCATGAATCACCACGAAATCTTTCTGGCACGATGTGACTTGGTATTGGCCCTCTAGGTCTATAGGGACCATGCCTACCCAACCACATTTGCCAAGCTGTCTCGTTTATCGAGGCACGTTGTTTTTTTACTGATTCAGCATTCCTGCCCCAGAACTCAGATGCCACAAACGCTACCTACCCGTGCTCCAGTACCGGAATGATCAAACACTCACAGAAACGCCCAGACGCGATGTGCCAACAATGCCGTCCATACCCTTCGCGCCAAATGCAACACACACTATGCAACCTTTGAAATCCTCCCGTTCCTCCCATCGAGAACCCCATCATTCCCGCTTCTCGCCAACGGGAACAAACTGCAGCAAACACTTTTGCCCTAGGGGTCGCGAGGAGATGAGCTGGTCCGACATGGCCATCGACTCTTCCGCCATTGACGTCTCAGGAAGCGTCGTGTAACGGGTGTAAATATCCGTCAACAGAGTCTTCATCTCGGCGAGCGCCAGACTTGGTGGTGCTTTGTTAGCAGATGGGATCTCATTGTGGATGGATTATGGGGGTTACTCACTGCTTGCCAACACATCCCCGGCCTCCGTTGGCAAACGCAAACATGAGCCGCTTCCTCTCAGCGTCACCCGTTGGCTCCATCCACCGATCAGGGTTGAACGAGTCTGGCTCCGGGAACACTTCCTCGTTGATGCGGTGAATGGAATACGCCTGGCAGCTGACTGTAGTCTTCCCCGGGATGGCATACCCGTCAATCACCCGCCCGCCCTGGGGCACATAACGCGGCAGGGACATCGGGATAGCTGGGAAGCACCGCAATCCTTCCTGCACAATGGCATCGAGGAACGGCAACTTGTCGAACGCGACCCCCGGGTTCTCCCTCAGCTCGCGTCTCAGCGTCTCCTGAAAACGCAGCGACCGCGGCTGCGAGAGCTCCCACATGAGGAAGCACAGCCCGTCGCCCGTCGTGTCGATGCCTGCCGCCATGTGGTCGAGGCACTCGCCCGCCACGTCGAGCTGGTCTAGTCCCCGGCCCGCCTTGTCGTGGAGCCGGCTCAGGAGCGTGAAGGCCGCCGGGTCGGGCTTTTTGCTGGACTCGATGACAAAGGTGTCGGCGAGGGGCGTCTCGCGGGGCTTGGCGAAGAAGTACAGGAATCGAGAGAGGAGCTTGTGCAGCGCGGGACTATAGTGCTGAACAAGGCGGTCTGTGTTATCGTCAGTCTACCTTAGGTACATTCAGCAGGCATGTTGGGCTGTGTACTCACTTTGCAGGCTGTCGTCAGCAGCAACCTGGTGCATCATTTCCTCGTCCGCCTCGTCCTCGAGGCAATTACTGCCGTACGGATGGAACAGGTGATGTGTGACGCAATCGCAGGCGTATGAGTGAAGACTCATCTGCAAACGCAGTCAGGCAACCGTCCAGAGAGTTGAAAACGGGGTCTACGTACGAATATGTCGTGGCTCTTGCCAACGGACTTCTCGCACAACTTGAGAAACTTATGTGACCTCTCCTGAATTCCGCCTAGAGGTACAGGTCGCAGGACGTTACTGTTTGCGTAGCGGTCCGCAATTATTCTCTTGCGCTTCGCATGCTAGAACAAATGTTGTAAGTTGCTATTCTACCCCAGACTGGAGTTTCATCCGGGGGGGCTTTACATCTTCCTTGTTCAACGTTGTGAACATAGTCCTAGTACTGTAAGCTTTCTGCTTTACCCAACCAACATAAGTTTGCCTTCCATACCTTCGTCCATAGACTTTAAACAAGTCATAAAACTCCGTCTTGTCATAACCGCTACCTCCAGAGCAGTAAATCTCTTTGACGGCTTCGTACGATGTAAATGAGACCTCGTCTGGTGCGACTCGGACAACCGGTCCATATTGCTGGTGGAGCGCATGGATGTACTTCGTCCTGGTTGCTTGTAGTTCATGCCATTTCAGAATGAGGGAAGTGAAGGCGGATATCCTCGGGCCGGGAACTTTCCACAACGGGGACAGGACGCAGCGAATGACATACGTCAAAGCTAGGACAGAGAATGCTGCTCCCAAAAAGACGGGAGAAAGGAGCAACATGTCGCAGGCCTTTCACTATTACACCATGATACGTACGTAGTTGTTCTGAAAAGTGACAAAATGAGTCAAAGGTTCGGGGCGTAAGGTAGGTCTCTCGAATCATGGGCGACGCCGGTTCCTCTTATCAGCTCCGTTCCGGGCCCCGATAGCGTTGGTCAATCAGAGGGTTTCGATTCGTAAATGACTAAGTCAAGCGCCGGCGCCGATAGGGTCCTTTAGCCCGAGAACGGGGCGGTCTGGCAAGCGCAACCTACTGAGGGACCCCAAATGAGACGTGAGGGGCAGGGCGTCAACACTGATTACCCCTCCATAACTCGACAGCCTGTGAGGAAAGGCTCGACATGGATGCGTCGGGAAAGACTTCATAAGGTATTCTCGTGAAGCAGGAATTCGGTACGGTATCAGATATTCGATTTTCAACTCATGTTTTTCTACGCCATCACCGCCGCCGTCCAACATCACCTCGTGAGACGCACAACGCCTCGCCGATCGCCACCTCGTACTAATACACCCGGTTCAAAACTCGCCCACCAAGCAAACCTCGAAGCAAGACTCAAAAAAGTGCAGGTAAACTCCCCTCCTCCATCTCTCACAGCTCTCCCTTAGTGCCCTGCTTCGACTTGTCATTCGAATTGCCCCCAAACAAGCCGGTCAACCAAGACATACCGGGAATCGACACAGTGCCTGCCGGGGGATACTCCTTGCCGTTGACGGTGACCTTGGGCGTGCAGGTGCACCACTGTTCCTCGGGGACGCTGCTCAGCGCCGACGGGATGTGTTGGCCGCAACCGCGCCAGGTTGCCTTTGCTATTAGAACTTTTAGTTTTCATGAAACTACACGGAATGTTACGAGACTGGGGTTGTCGTCTTACAGCAAGTCGAGCAGGTGACTCCGAAGCACATTGTGGATGAAAGTAAAGGTGTTGGTGAAAGGGAGATGTCGGTGCGGGTATCAAGTTCAAAGGGTCGACAGTATGTTGTGTACGAGTTGATCCGAACGAAGCTGGAAGTCAAGATGGTGTTTTGAGATAGTCTTGTTGAACGTTGACCAATGTGATAAGGGCTGGTCTAGCTACGAGCTCACCTGGGATTAAGTATTCGCGGTGTCCGTGATAGCATAATCCACCCACTTGGGGTCGGCGACCTGCATTGAGCATCGTCACGGGCGCAGTGACCCCGATGAAGTGGGTCTCGGAGGGGTATCGCCGACCTCGCTCCCTATTCCGGGGAAGTGGGGTGCTGTCAATGGAACTCGGGCTTGCTCACATAAGGCACTTTGGAAGCTTCCGACCGAGCTGAGACCGGTATTTCTTTAGTCATCTCGTGTAACACGTGCGAACCAATCTCGGGAATGTTGCTCGTTAAATGTATTTGGCCATGAGTGAAGACAAATATCCCCTCTCAACTAAGGCAAGGTATGCTGAGGCTCATGCGGTCCGTCCCGAGTCTGACTTCATACTTGCTGGATGAACTGAGCCACACGTTCTGCAAGCCACTGCTGGGATTCCGGGTTCTTCACAGTATGGCTTGCTCCGGGAATCAACCCAGATAGCTCGTGGACATTGGAGTTTGTCTTCTTCCACAGGTCGATCAAAGCTTGCTTATCGATTTTGGCTGGCACGAACTCATCCTCTGCAGAGTGTAGCACCATGACGGGCTGCTGGAAACGATTCCAGACCTCGGAGACGAACGACTCTTTGAGGTCGGAGGAGAAGTAATCATCGTCACCCCTGTGATGAATATCAGTATTTCATTCACCTCACCCCGGAGATCGAGTATCATAGCTACTTACCCCTTAGCCGCCAGAGAGTGCCAACGGTAGGCCGTCATAGGTGTCGAGAAAAAGCTTGGTACTAGATCTTTAGGCATCGCTTCGGCCTCCTTTCCAGCGGAAATCAGCCCCTCTGCGTGCTCTAGGCTCTTCTTCAACCAGTCAGGCTTGACAAAGTCTTCAATAGACTCCCGGTCAGATGCAGGACCTTGCATGATGAAGCCATCGACAGGGTCCTCCTTGTGCTTGGTATACTCCATACAGTCCTACCAAGGTTAGTTGGGTCCTGTAAATGTTCGAGGCTACTACAACAGTATACCTGGCATCCAGTTGAGTGGCCCATAAGGACAATCTTTTTCTTTCCGATACCTCGGAGATACCTCACCAGCGCCGAGATATCCTCAACATCGTTCTTCAAGCTCGAAAAGCCGTAGCCAGAAAAGGAGCTCCTCATCCGAATCTCAAACACAGACCAGTCTTGTGCCGCTGTCTCAAGATGCTTGGCTATGGCCTTGGTGTAGCCAACAGTATGAGGTCCATCTGCGAGGCCTCCTATGAAGAGAAGGGCGTTTGATGCTCCAGATGGGCCGATCTCATAAGCGCTAGAGTGTGAGGTTCGGGAATCGAAAGGATGCACCGTGCAAGAGAAAGGAGCCGGGGCCATGGCGAGTTACTGAGGCCCTTTCGGACAAAGACAGGCTGTTCGTCAAGATTCGGTCGTAGTTTCAGCGGAAGGCTCCTTTCGTGACTGCTGATCAGAAATTCAGAGAGTCTTGCGATGTAGTTGCTTCCTCACATGAATTATTGAAATTGACGTAACCTAGTGGAGGGGGAAGCGCTCTGGTGGGGGCTGCTCTGATGTGCTGTTGCGGGGCTGCCAGCTTCCCTTTTAGCGAGCCAAAACCACCAAAGGCCCTGAACAATCGGCTGTCAGTGGGGCTCATCACCGAGGGACGTCGAAAGGAAGCCACCCGATTGGGCCTACTTTAGGAAGGTATGTACTTCGTACCGTCAATCTTTCTCAGGATAGGTAGTCATCTCAGGCAGGCGTTTCCTCCGTCAAAGTTGGGTTGCGAAGTGAACGACAGAGCCTCCACATTCAACTACCAGTAAACACGCGAATCCTCACCACTCTCTCTTCAATATCACGCCAGTCATATTCTCGAAAACCGCGACGAAAGGCTTTTCTAGATCAGATACGTCTCCGCCGTTAAGTTACGCGCCGCTGGAGGCTGGCGTGGAATACCTGCCCTCTGCCTCGTAATGGCGACCACTCCCGCCACTGCAAACCCAGCCCGGAATGAGTTCTTTCAGCAGGTTCGTATACCTTGGGACGTATAGATCATATGCTGACCAATTCAATCAGCTCAAACCATGCTGTGTCTCAATTAGTCAGCTAGCAATCCGACAACAAGGAGATTCGTCCTCCTTCAAACGACTATCCGAGTTGACTGACGAGTTGTACCACATTCTCAACGACCAAGTCAATGGAGATGCCAACGTTCTGGATTCAAAGCTTGCCGACTACGTCTTTTTCCCGCTCTCTCATGTCTTCCGCAGTCACGATCAATACCCCAAGCGCCTAATCGAGCTCGCCATCAAGTGCCTTACCGTTATCATTATTCACGGCTGGAAGTCCAACATCTCGCCCCAGATCTTGCAGCAGCTCCTGATACTTCTCACTTTCATCGTTGGAGGAGTACCTGGCCGCGAGAGAGAGCACAATGTGCCCGAGGAAACCGAGCTTGAATCGCTTAGAGCATTAACTGCCTTGCTTACTGTGGCTGGAACGTCCAGCACAGCAGCAACAGCTCTGACCGAGGAGAGATTGGTGCCAACTCTGGGCCATACCATCACGGTAATTCTGGGATGCGTAGCGGATGGAAGAACGTCAGCTATTCAGCTCGAAGCTCTGCGTATCCTGAACTGCTTCTACACGAGCATCAAGGACCATGCCGCACTTGCGTCGTTCATTCCGGGCATCGTCTCTAGCCTGACAAAACTTCTTTCCAAACCCCAGGGAGAGAAGATGCGCGTCTTGTTCGGTTCCATACAGTCGTTGGGACTGGTGCTAGTAAAAGTTCTTGGCGATGTCAGGACCCGGAGCATCATCGCAAGACTGAACTCAGATACTCCACCGGAGGCCGAACAAGGGGGTGTACTGAGCCTATCATGGCTCAACGCGACAAAATCACAGATCAAGCTGTCTTTGGCAACAGTCTTGAAACTCCGAATAAGCGATAATACAGACGTACGCGAGGCGCTGCTGGCATTCTGTCTTGGACTTCTCGACGAATGTCACACCTCCCTGGAAAATTGCTCTTCCGTACTGGTGGAGACAGCCATGGTCATCTCACCAACACATCCAACGACGTCTTTGACCGGTACAAGTCTGCAAGATTTGGCCATCATATATCCTGAACTTGGCGAGACCGTGAAGGTCACATGTTACAATTGGATCACCAGCTTGCCCAGGATCATGCAGTCTGCCGACGAAAGCAAGAAACAGGCCGCCGTCCAGAATTTGATGAAGGGTATGGCTCTTGTCAGTAGCCTTCAGTTGGATTCTTCACTATTGGACGAGTCAATAGCGGCGGCTCTAAGGGACAGTGTCACATCTCTCATAACCGGAGCGAAGCCTAGCAAGATCCTGGATGAAACAACGCCGGACGCTTCATGGTACAACCAAGATATTGTGAGAATAGGAGACACTCCAAAACAATATTCAAATGTGCTGTTGGGCGAGGAGAGTCAGACTGGAACAAGGTCAGCTATGATTGACTTGCTTTCCAACGTCGGGCCAGCCTCGCAGCAGACCAGGCTTGCTGCCGAAATGCTGGATCACGCCAGGGACTCGTCAGGCGATTCTCAGATAGCCTCTTTCTGGCTGAGCTTTGAACTCCTCAAGACCGCCTTTTCTCGTTCTAACGAGCTCGACGATCTCCTGGACTTCTCTTCACTGGGTTCTGGGGGCGAGTGTTCCGAATCCACCTTTCAGGAATTGTATGCATTCGCCGTCGTTTTGCTCGACTCACACTCTGAGCTGGCCGAGATCGACTGGAGGCTAGAGGCCACAGCACTTGAAGTAACCGCCTTCGCAGCATCTCGATCAGGCGAAGCCTTTAGACCAGAACTCATTGACGTGCTATATCCTACAACAGCCTTCCTTGGCTCTGCGAGCTCACAACTAAGAGAGCATGCAATCACGACCTTGAACGTTCTTGCTGTATCGTGTGGGTATACGAGCGTCTCCGAATTAATCATCGAGAACGTCGACTATATGATCAACTCTGTTTCGCTGCGGCTCAACACGTTCGATATATCGCCGGCGTCCACGAAGGTGTTGGTGATGATCACTCGCCTAACCGGGTCGCGACTGCTGCCGTACCTCGACGACGTTGTGGCCTCCATTTTCGCAGCCTTAGACAACTACCATGGGTACCCGGTATTTGTTGAAAGTCTGTTTGCAGTGCTCAAGGAGGTTGTAGAACAAGGCGTGAAGTCTGACAGACTTCTTCTGGAGGGCCGACAAAATGGACCAGAGAGTCACAAGAAGGCTGCCGGCAGTCATGTCACAATTGATGACATTGTCAATTTATTGAAGAGACGACGGGAAAGAGAGACCGAAGCCTTGATCGACGATGTGACCGACGAAACTAACAACAATCATCCTCAAGAGCCTTGGGGTGCGCAGGCCCAAAAACCCAAAGACGGCGGGGAAGAAGGAATTGACGAGGACGCTGCAAACAACCAAGTCGAAAAGGAGAAACCACCCAAGACACCAACGTATACCCTACTGGAGAAGATCGCCGGCTTGACACAGCACTATCTTACTTCACCCAGCCCTACGCTGCGAAAGTCGTTGCTCGACCTACTGGCCACCGTATCTCCAGCTCTTTCAGGCGACGAAGACTCTTTTTTGCCGCTGATCAATGCTGTATGGCCGGTGGTGATCACCCGAATCTACGACGAGGAGGCGTTTGTGACCATTTCAGCCTGCGATGCCCTCTGTGCGCTCTCCGCCACCGCCGGAGACTTTCTAGCCTCCAGAATCAAGACAGAGTGGTGGGACGGGCTGGGAAAGTGGTGTCGAAAGAAAAAGCTAGAGGCTATCCAGTCTCGAGGTAAGGGTAGTACGCACCGAGAGAGTACCAGGCCAGGCCAGGCCTCCGGGACTACGAGTCAGGGAATCGTCATTCCCGTCATGACAGGAAGCGATCGGCTAAGCTATCAATCTGCAGAGATAACGAAAGGCTCGGTATCAGGCGGCTTGGGCAAATTCGCTCAATCTGCACAGATCTGGGATTCCGTGATGCGCATGTTGACAGCTATCGCTTCACATGTCCGCCTTGACGCCGAGATATTCGACGAAGTGCTGGATCTGTTGAGCGAAGCACTTAGCCAAAACGTTGAAGCACGTCGCGCCTTGGAAGCTGTCAATGGTGATGCAGTCTGGCTAGCCATGTACCAGCAGGGACAGGTCAAGGCCCCAAGTCTACCCAGACTAAACGGCGTGACTTTTGCATCCTTGACGACGCTGAGCTGAAGCTCGCCTCGCATGCATCTCAGCCCTCACGACGGGTAGCTACGGATACGCAGAAAGCTCTAGCCTCCAAGTTGTGAATCGTTCGATGGGAGCTGCAAGATCACATGGTAGCAACTATTATCCAACCACCACCAATAGGAACACAACCGCGGGCTTAATGGAAGCTAGAAGTGCGCTAGAATCATTTTGGTCTACAGAAAGTCCAGATTGGCCCCGGGATGGCTTCCACTGCATGACAACGATCACAGGTCGGGGCTGGAGCTGAAGATGTGACAGCTCTGAGCTGCATGGCACCACGGGAAGCATGTTCGGGCGACCTTGGCGACCTTGGCGCCTCAGGACCAGGACGCCCGATAGCTGCACAGAGAACGCTTAGTACATAGATTGCCGTCTGACGCGGGGTTGCGCACCATTCCCATCTTCTCGGCGAGTCCGGCCACTGCGACAACAGGGGGCAGAGCTGATAACACTCTGAATGGATCCGTGATCCGACATGATAGGAAGTAGAGACGGATGAGCGATACGAGCGCTTTGCTCGATGATTACAGCGCTCAGGTGCCGCCAACCGTGATTGACGAGCGAAACAACACACCTTCACAATAACTACATACCTAGACACTTTCGCACCAAAGGTGCCAAATTTGCGCAAAGATCAAGTGTTCCATAGCCCTTGTTTCAATTCGGGACGAAGGGGGGCCACGCGAACATGACTTCCGGGGGGATGCCTGGAGGTGTCTGCAGAGAGCGAAATGAGGGCGTCTACCCCAGATCCCCACGACACTCGATTTACACTACGCAGTAAGGGCAGAGTACTCCGTAACCGAGAGGCAATTGACGGTTCGGTGACAAAATGACACATTCCTCTTCAGGAAGAAGGCATCATCCTTCGCGGGAACGGTCCTACCAGATGCAGTATCGGTCACCTGCACCAAGGCTAGAAACCGCACGCTTCACCGGATCGTCTGGACGCGATTTCGAGCAAAAGTGCTGTAGCAGAATGGGGGCGGGGCGATGGAGAGGAAGTGCGGGTGGTCAAGAAACTAAGACTAATTAATTACCAAGACTCCAAGAGATGCCCTCAAATGCTTGGCCTCAAGCCGGCCAATAATATCTCCAAG